GAGAAAATGTTGGGGAGTGGTGCAAAAAAAAAAAAAGGGGGGGGGGGGCTTCTATAAGTACATAGGAGACAAAAGTAAGACTACGAAAAATGTGTCCCTCAAAGAGATGAGGGACTTGGTTACACAGGACATGGAAAAGGCAGAAGTACTGAATGTCTTCTTTGCCTCAGTCTTTACCAGCAAGACCAGCCTTCAGGAATCCCAGGTCCCAGAGATCAGAGAGAAAGGTTGGAGCAAGGAAGATGTACACTTGGTGGAAGAGGATCAATCAGGTCAGGGAATACTTAAGTAAACTGGACATATATAAGTCCATGGGCCCTGATGGGATGCACCCAGGAGTGCTGAGAGAGCTGGCAGATGTCACAGTGAGGCCACTCTTGATAATCTTAGATCAATCATAGTGACTGGGAAAAGTGCCAGAAGACTGGAGGAAAGCAAATGTCACCCCGATCTTCAAGAAGGGCAAGAAAGAGGACCCAGGGAACCACAGGCTAGTCAGCCTAACCTTGATCCCTGGGAAGGTAATGCAGCACCTAATCCTGGAAACCATTTCCAGACACATTAAGGATGAGAAAATCATCAGGAGTAGTCAGCATGAATTTACCAAGGGGAAGTCATGCTTGACCAACTTGATAAACTTCTATGATGAAGTGACTGGCCTGACAGATGAGGGGAGAGCGGTGGATATTGTCTACCTGGACTTCAGTAAGGCCTCCAACAGGATCCTTATAGAGAAGCTGTTGATGTACAGGCTGGATGAGCATTCAGTGAGGTGGATTGAAAAGTGGCTGAATGGCCGGGCTTAGAGGGTGGTGATCAGTGGTGCAAAGTCTAGTTAGAGGCCAGTGACTAGCATGTACCCCATGGATCAATACTGGGTCCAGTCCATTTTAACATCTTCATTAATGACCTGGATGATGGGGCAGAGTGCATCTTCAGCAAGTTTGCAGATGACACCAAACTGGGAGGAGTAGCTGATACACCAGAGGGTTGTGCAGCCATCCAGAGGGACCTTGACAGTCTGGACAAATGGGCTGGCAGGAACCTTATGAAGTTCAACAAGGGGAAGTGCAAAGTCCTGCACCTGGGGAGGAACAACCCTGTGCTCCCTGTGCTGGGAGCCACCCAGCTGGAAAGCAGCTTGGCAGAAAAGGACCTGGGTATCCGGGTGGAACCCACCAGGTTGAACACGACCCAGCAGTGTGCCCTTGCTGCAAAGAAGGCTAATGGTATCCTTGGCTGCATTAGAGAGTATTGGCAGCAGGTTGAGGAAAGTGATCCTTCCCCTTTATTCAGCACTGGGGAGGCCACACCTGGAGTGCTGTGTCCAATTCTGGGCTCCTCAGTACGCAAGAGACATGGACATACTGCAGAGAGTCCAACAAAGGGCCACAAAGATGATGAAGGGACGGGGGCATCTCTCATGTGAGGAAAGGCTGAGAGGGCTGGGAATGTTTAACCTAGAGAAGAGAAAGCTCAGGGATACAATCAATATATATAAATACATGAAGGGAGAGTGCAAAGAGGACAGAGCCAGGCTTTCTTCAGTGGTGCCTAGTGACAGGACAAGAGGCAATGGGCACAAACTGAAACACAGGAGGTTCCATCTGAACATCAGGAAATACTTTTTTACTGTGAGGATGACTGAGCACTGGCACAGGTTGCCCAGGGAGGTTGTGGAGTCTCCCTCCTTGCAGATATTCAACAGCCATCTGGATGTAGCCCTGGGCAACTGGCTCTAGGTGGCCCTGCTTCAACAGGGGGCTTGGACCAGATGACCTCCAGAGGTCCCTTCCAACCTCAGCTGTTCTGTGATTCTGTGATTCAGATATTCCTGGCTATTCACACCACATCACAGTCATGAGAGACTTTCATGAAAGTCATGAGACTTTCTCAATAATTTTTCACTAGCCAACAACACATGATGTTGCCTTGTATTTGCTCTAGTAAATGTTGAGAATACTATAGAAGAATTGATTATAAGAAATAACCATGGATTGACAAATGAGTTGATTCTGTTTAAATTAAACATGAGGCTAAGCAAGAATAGATATTACTGAAGTCAACTGATCTGAAGGGTTAACAAACAGGTGAAGCTTGAAACTATCTTAGAATTGGAGATAAAAAGGGGGTGTGTGTGTGCATATATATGGACAGGAGAGCCAAAAATACTGAGATCTGCAAAGAATACTAAAACAAACAGCTACAGGCTTTTTAGCTACATCCATAAAAAGAAAGGAAGAAAGAAGTGCAATAGTTGTACAGTGAGGATGCAGAAGTGAAACTGCCACATAAATAATCAATGCACTTGTGCTCAGTTGGGGAAGACCAGATACATTCCAACAAATTCTAAATGTGCCAGCTATTTCATTTGAACATCTGCAAGTCAGAATTTTTAAGGAATCCAGGCAAAAAGGGTATTGTGATTTTCTGCGAGGATCTTTGGTTATATTCTAAATTCTAGTACAGAAGTTACCACAGACCCAAGGAAACAGACATACTGCTGTGGTTTTATGGTTTTATCAACTCTATCTTGCATTTTTTCTCATAGCGCCCAGCAGAGCATGTTAACAGAGACAACAGAATATGTTGCAGAGAGGTTACAGTAGATTTCAGATTTGCCACCATTTAGAAATATGAATGGGATTCTCCCATACTAATAGGTGCAGTACAAGTTTTATCCAGACACTACTGCTTTCTCCATTCTCTAGTTTTCTAAAGCAGCCTTTATGTAGTACAGCTTCTGCTTCTACTAGGAAGGCCAACATCATCGCCTAGCCAACTGTATGACTACCTAGCCTGGATCCCTAGAAAATACCTGTCAACCCCGTGTAGCAGGTTAAAACGTAGCATGCTTTACACTGTCTATCCTTATGTTTTATGTGAATCCTATACATAAGTGCTGTTGAAGGCAGTGCCTTGTCTGTGGCAGTCTGTGTAGCCTGCTGTGTCCATGCCCTTTGTGTGTCTGAGTGTGCACATGTGTGGGTGTCTCTGGAATACACGTTTAACTTCACTACCAGTTGAACCTGCAAACAGGGAAGCAGCTGCCACATCCATCTGGGTCTCTGGACTGGGCTCCAGCAGCTGGGCAGGAGGAATCCCCAGGCTCTGGAGCTGCTGGAGATGGCAGCACTTACAACCTCCCTTAACAGAAAAATTTGGTTTTGCAGGGACTACTTATGAAAATAATCTTCATTTAACTGAGAAATATGTATAATTTACTTATGAAAAGTAAAGAAGTAATACATTATTTAATTTTTAAATAATGGCAATTTGAAGATTAAAACATACTCTTTATTAAGATACTTGATCTAGCTCTAAAATGGGAGAGGTGGGAGAGAATTAAAATTTCAAATGATTGATGATTTGCAAACAAAAATAAAGGTCCTATTTGCTGTGCCTATACATAGGATTTAAATGGAGATTTAATGTTACAATTCACACATAGAAGAGATTCAGTTTTCTAGAGAAAATGCTTAAACCTGATGCTTATAGTCAGCAGAGCTAAAATTTAAGTACAAAATTGATTCTGCGTAAACAACCAAACACAGCCTCACTAACTAACTTTGTCATCTTATCTGGAACCTCACAGCTGGGGAGAAAACAACCCTTTCACAAACACAGAGAACTTGACAGTAAGAGTGCTGTTGCAAAGCAGGCAGTTACAAAGAACCTATCAGTTCCCATCACGCAGTAATAATAATTGCCTCATCCTATTTTGTTTTGAAATAAAGTAACATCACTTTATCATCTCACAAGAGAAGGCTTTGGGGAGACCTTCTTGCAGCCTATCAGTACTTAAAGGGGGCTTATAAAAAAGATGGCGGCAAACTTTTTAGCAGGGCCTGTTGCAACAGGACAAGGGGAAATGGCTTTAAACTAAAGGGGGGTAGATTTAGACTAGATATAAGGAGGAATTTTTTTATGCTGAGGGTGGTGAAACACTGGAACAGGTTGCCCAGAGAGGTGGTGGATGCCCCATCCCTGGAAACATTCCAGGTCAGGTTGGACGGGGCTCTGAGCAACCTGATCTAGTTGAAGATGTCCCTGCCCACGGCAGGGGGGTTGGACTAGATGACCTTTAGAGGTCCCTTCCAACCCAAACCGTTCTATGATTCTATGATTCACTTGAATTAATTTGTTGTAGAAAGCATTCTCACAGTTGTAAGGACAGTGGTATTAACATATTTTCAACATTGTCTTACATTAATCTTGGAGATAATTTTAATTATTTCTTAGGTCTTATGACCTGATATGAAATAAAACAAGATTTTTTTTCCCCTAAGAGAAATTTTCCAAAATTTGTTCATAGATCTACACCATGGCCTAAAACAGGTGTAATTCAGATGGTTACATCATATGTCTCATATTGTGCTACGGCTTGCCATCTTACACAGGAGAGAGAGACCCTGGAGCCCTTTGTCTATTTATAGACAGAATTCAACCACTTCTTCATCTGTTACATGTATCTACTGTAACTAGGAAATAGTCTGGCTCCCTGTGTGCATCGTTAAGTGTACTGTTAAGATAAAATGCTTCTTTATTGATGTGGAGAGTATAGAATATGAATAAAGCTCTATACAGGAGACATGCTTTCCAAACTCACTGAATCCTGTGGTGAACTCCTTTGGGGTAAGTGAGCCATTGCCATCAGCATCCAATGTAACAAAAACTTTTTCAAGCTCTTCCAGGCTAAGAGGTAATTCAGGATGCAGTCTCTGGAATGACAAAACATGCAGCAACTTTATCCAGTACTACAGGATGAGAGGAAGACTAGATTCTACAGAACATTCATAATACAAAAGGATAGGTCCTTTTGTTTCCCAGAGTGAAAATTCAAATACATCACAGAGTAAAACAACATCAACTGAGGGAGATTTGCTTTTATGACTTCATTATTTACCATTATGAATCCTTTCTGACAAAGCAGTGAGAACAATACCCTGTGACACAGATTCCAATCACACAGGGAAGAGGTAGAATTTGAGGTGGAGTCTCAGCATCCTGGTGAAATGCCTTGATTATCATGCAGCTGGACAAACCTGCCAGCAGAACTGTATGCCTAGTTCCTTCCACATCATGAACTCAAGCAAGAGACTCTCGAAACAAGAACATTATAGAGGGTATACTGTCCTAATTAAAGCTGCTTTAAAATGTGTAAATAAATAAATAAATAAATAAAACAAAGCTAAGAAAGCTGCGTGGTCCAAGGAGCTAACCTGCTGCTCCTGTAACAAGTTAAATATAGTTCATGACTGTCTACTTCCGAAATGCAGCATGCTCACACCAAAAAAGACAAAACTTCATTAACCCAGCTCCACCAAATCACTTTTTTTTTCCTGAGAATCTAAAGACAGGCATAAAAGAAAAAAAAATTCTTTAAATCTGGCCTTAATGGTTTTACTGTAATTCTTTTAACAGTATATATAGACAGATTCCCAGAAATAGGAGGAAACTGGAGTGGCAAACAACTACAGTAGCAAGGATTTCCACTGGGAGACAGCACAAGAAAGAGTAAAACCTTTCCTCAGCTTGGGAAGCAATATAAATATACACTGGTGAAGTCCTCTGCGTTAATAGTTAATATTTTAATCCATTTTCTGAACTCCTATTGTATATACAACATATTAAAACTGCAAGCTAACAGGTTGATAAAGTTCATCAGAACAGAAGTGCTAATCTGTTCCACTGTGGGGAAGGGATTTATGGCCAAAGAAAGTCTCTCCTGCAATCCAAGAACAATAGAAACCACTATTCAATATACCAGGCCATACAGCCAAGGTAAGAATTGCTTGAGTGCATTAACCAGGACTTCCCTGGCTGCAACGAAGGTTTTAGGGTATACATTATAAACCTGTATGAGTTGAAGGGAAGAGCAGTAAAAGGAATTCCAAGGTGACCTTGAGAAGGGAAAGCAACTTCTAAAGCACAGAACTATCTGGAATAGTCCCAAAGGAATTTCTGAGCAGTATTAATTGTGCATTGCTGCCTGCTTTCAAAAAACTAAGAAAACTTGATGTACATTCAGTCTAAATACATTACTTCATCAGCGATACACCTGACATTATCAGTTTCTCACTTAAACACACCCATCTTCCCAAAGCTTTAGATTTTAATCTCCTAGATCTAAAGGGAAACTTTTTAAAATTAGCTTCCCTTGTAAAATTCTTACAGCCTACACAGCACTGATGAGGGAGGAGGTGCTTCAGACAAATTACTCTTTTTACTCTTAGAAAAACAGAAACTGTAGTCCTACTGCCAGATCTTTGGGAGCTGCTGAAGGAGTGCTTCTTGAGAGCTGGCTGTCCTCTTCTGACCATGTCATAAACACAGAATGACCTGCTATTCCGATACAACTGCTTGTGGGTCTTGCTGCAAACCTGACTGATAAATATATGCTTCTCCAACTACAGCTGGAGTGCCTTATTGCAGGGTTCAAATTCTGAACCGAATTATAGTAATTTTGCAGTAGAAAACGCCACAATTACTTGCATGTTCTTGAAAAAAGATGAAAATAGGAGGTTTTGAAGAATGTACCAACACTTTGCTCCATTAAATTCCCTGAGGATAATTTAGTGACTTTGATGAACTGGGGTCACACTTACCATTTTTACTAAGATTAAGTCAATGTTTTCTCAACCTCTTGTTTTTATTCTTCAAAAAAAAATTTTAAGCAGGTTTTTTTTTTAGGAAAACAAAATGTTATTGTTGGTCTCACAGGTGTGTTTTTGTTTATTTGCTCATTTTGGGCTTACTGTAAAAATACATAGATCCTTTCAATATGAGGCTTTTAAAAATTAAAAAAAAAAACCAAACAAAACCCAAAACATATCCAAAGATACCACTGGAGCATAAAGAGAAATTATCTGCATTGCCACCCAATGTGCTCTGTGCTTTCATGACATCTGTGCTTACTCATCTGAAAATACCAAGCTTTTACTCTGCTAAATAAAAAGACAGAGGTCAAATAACTAAGAGCAAGATCTGAACCCAATTCTGCTATACACATTAAAACAAAACATTTTGCAACACTAATTCTCATTATTCATGATAACCTCAAGGCCCAAAGTGCAAAGCTGGTTTCAAGTTTCAGGTAGAATTTGCTTTCTTGCAATTTCAGAAAACCTCTTGTTTGTTTGAAAGTTGAGCACTTCTGATATTTTGAAATGGAATGAAAAATTCTTAACAACCAGTAATAACATAATCTCAAAATAAACAGCATGATATAATCAGGGAGCAGTAAATCTTTAATATAATTACTATATTATAGACACATCAGAAAACTTTGTTTGCAAGATCTGTTCCACTGAAGTTAATTGGATTTTTAAATACTCGGCACTTTTTAGATACTCAGCACTCTCTCTTGAAAATCATGCCTCATATCACATGACTAAAGATTAAAAAGCTTAATGTTAGCATCTTGTATTTGAAGCAGTGCTTCATTAATGGTAAGTAGTACTGAACTAACAAACAGCAGGATGCAAAAGTGATCAACACTTGGTACCTTTTAAGGAAAAAACTGATTTACTTTATTGATTTATGTCTCTGCTATAGAGAGTGAACATCATGAAAAGTGCAATCAAAATCAACTATACGGATTTCAAACTCAAGTTTGCGATACAGGGATTCTAGTTAACTAGTCATTCTAATCAAACATAATGAACAACTGTAACAGTATATGTCTAATGTACAGTTGTTCAGTATAAAACATCATTATTTTGTATATTAATAAAATAATGAGTACCAAACCCATTAGAAAACATTGTAGATTACTGTTACTGGTGTCCAAATAAATCTCTATTAATCCATTACTGAATTACAAGGAAGATAGGACAATGAGAAAGCTATCACTGGCTTCAAAGAATCCGGGTTTCTGAATTGCTGGAATTAATGTAAAAGACTTTCATTTATAATTTTTATTCACTGCCACTAAATTACTCTAAAGTCAAATGGAAGTCTCACCCATTTTTTTGTCAATGGAACTGCATTGATTTCAGCTGAATTACTCTTGATTTACTAAAATATTGAGTGGAATAAGGATAATCCAGTATCTTCAAAAGGTTTGTATTTGTAATATTATCTTTAATTGGATCAGC